TGGACCTGTCACTAAACAACAGGTTACATTTAATTAAAAATAAGATTTTCAAACTTTGATTAATATGCTATATAAATATATAATTTTATGTATGCTATATATATATAACATGATTTATTTTTTAATTTATTTTTTAATTTTAGCACTATTGTAAATAATTATTCAAATATGTTATGTAAAAATAAATTTTTATTGGTAAGTTTTAATTATAAAATATGTTTTTTTGACTGAAGACTTATTGGTTTTATAAAGTTAAAAATATTTATGCTTACTAAAAAATCATATTTTTTTAAGAAACTTGAAATTTTGCTTATGAAATTATTTTCTGAGTTTTAACAAAAAAAAATTTCTTGCAAAATTTTGAGTTAAAATTTCTTCGTTATTGCGCTTTTCTAACTTACCCTAACCCTAAAATAACTTTGCAATCATGCAACCAGATAACAATTAGGTAATTGTTCAAATGATTATAATCTGTGCCAGGTTTTGTTAATCATTATGGCGCAGATCGTCGATCTACAAATTATATTTCAAGGATCAAGTGTAATGTAATACGATTAAAACAATGTTCGTTTTAGTCAAAGATTTCTTATTTCTTAAAAACTACATAAAAAATCACTTCTAGTGCTCCAATAAAAATTTTTCCTTGAGCAATTTTATTACACAACCATTCAGACTTTAACTTTATTCTAAACGTTAACTCTAACATTAATGAACTTTAAAAAATTTTGCTGCATCACCAACTGGCACAGAATTTTTTTGTGCTTTCCAGTATCGTCTATGTTAAGGTTAGAATCTGTGTTAAAATTAGAATTTAGAGATTTTAATAGTAAAATTGTTCAAATAAAACTTTTCATTATAGCGCTTTGCAATAAAGTGTGGTATTGTGATTTTTGTGATGATAGTAGTTGGAAATTTCAGAGATTTAGATTTTATATTAATTATATATTTCAATAAACAATTATATATATTGTTTAAAATCTTTAAAATTGTCAAAGAATCGAAAAATCTGCTAATATTGCCAATTTTTTGCAATTTCGCATGACATCGTGATCTGCAGATGTCATACTTTATTGCAAAGCGCCATAATGCGAAGGTGGTTTTTTTATCAAATAATGATTGTTTTGCATTTTCTGATTGCGTAACATTAAACTAAAGTGAGGTTTATTATTGGCTTATTTTCATTTATTATTATGTGACGGTAGTGATTTTCTGGCGATACTGAGGTAGTTAATGATTGTATACAGTACCTATATGATTTACGAATTTGGCAATGTTTGGATATATTGATATCGGTCTAAACCTAAAAAATGAAGTACATTTATTAATTTAGTAATCTTGTGTTAATTTTACTATGCCTATATTAGTTATGTACATACATTGTTCCAAATTGAGTATTATTAGTTAGACATGTTGGAAAATATTTACTCGATAAAATTTTTAGATTTGTACTTAGAGGAGAATAACAGCTTTAGTTTGTTAGAATTTCAAGATTAAGAAAGAAAAATTCTTCATGATTTTTATTTAAGTAATAGTAAGGCAATATGAGTGTACTTGAAAAAAAAAATTATAGATAGTACACCATCAGGAGTCTCTCGGGTAGGATTTATAAAAAAAAAATATATATATATATATACATAGAATAGAGGCAAAAAACATTTAAATATTTAACTTACATTTTAAACTTTAATAAAGCTTCTAAGAACTCGAATTTACAAAATATTAAATTATAAAAATTAGCAGGTAAAACCAAAGACAATTTATAATTAATTTTCGAATTCTTAAAAAATCCTTAAAACTTATTTTGATCTAAAATTTAGCTTAAATATTTTGAATCATATAATTTATATGAGTAGTACTTGCATAAGACTTGAATTTCTTATTTGTTAACTTATTGCTATTAAATTCCTTTTTTTATAAGACTTGCTGCTTTTATCCCTCTTATTATTTATTTTATAGTCTATAACTCCTATTTATTCCAAATTTTCTTAATTTATTCAGTTACTATTCTAATTAAATTCACTATATATATCACCATTGCTTTCTCAACGATAGTAACATGTAACACTTACCTCATAATCTGTAATAGTATAATTTTAAAGAGTTATTAAGCTCCGATTTTATGACATATAAAACATATATAGTATATCTTATTAATGCGATATTTTAATTTGAAATCCTTTCGCTTATACAGTAATATTATCTGACCAACTTATTTAGCTGTTAAAGGTATATATAAATTATTGTTTTGAATTTTTAGTGAATGATAATCAGTATTTTTTTTTAACATTGAATTGTTTTAAACATATATTGATATATATGTGTCAAATAATTTCTCACTGAAGCACTTCGGTATATACAATATTTTTAGTATATTCAGAAAATTCTGTTGGTCCAAGGAAGATGCGCAACCTTTGTGAAGATGTAACTCTCGAGCATGCAACATATAGCTGTCTATGAGAAAAGACAGGAGTTGGGATATAAAGTCCAAGATAGTTTATAGTTTGCCCTTGAGATTTGTGGATAGACATTGCAAAGGCAAGCTGGCATGGAAATTGGTGATGCTTCAGAACAAATGGTAGTGATACATTGGTGGGAGATAGTGTCATTCTAGGCAAAAATACTCTTTGTCTAATTAAAGGTCCACTTAGAGGTTCTGCTTCTATAACATGTTTTTGAAGTGCTTTAATAATTAACCTTGTCCTGTTGCAAAGGCCTTCAGCTGTGTTGATATTACATAGTAATACAATAGGCGCACCAACTTTAAGTGACAATATATGAGGCGGTAGACCACTAAATTTTAATGAATTAAGAAACTCAGTTGGATAGAGTACTTCTTGGTTACGATTATATATTTCAGAGTTTTGATCTATAGAATCTGCACTATAATATGTTGTTTCTTCACTAGAAAATTGAAAAAGTACTTCTGAGTTAAGTGTGTCGACCTCTTTATTCTTTGGAGCAAGAATTGCTCTCTCAATTAAATATGCAGCATTTTGATATCGTACTTGTAGTTCTGGAAATACAAAATCAATTAATCCTTGAGAGCTATCGCATTTAAGTATAATTTCTAATGGTAAGGGTATATAATTGGTATCAGGTATAATTTCGGGAATACGTCCTTCTCCAAGTTTTAGCAGCCAGTCAGCAAATTCTTTTTGGGCATCTGTATCTGAAGAGTCATGCATTCTTTGTAAGCGCATGTTAATTGTTAATTTTTTTACTTTAACATACTGCCATAGCCAAGAGCGACTCAGACTTGCATTAACAATGTCTTCTTGTCCACCTTTTGGAACTACTGGAAGGACTTGTCTAAAATCACTGCCAAACACCATAATTTTACCACCGAAAGGTTCATTATTAATCATGATATCTTGCATAGTACGGTCTACTGCTTCAAAAGCATAATGATGTAACATTGGAGCCTCGTCCCAGATAATTAGTGTTGCTTGTCTGAGAAGCTCAGCAAGGTCTGTTTGTGCTGATATGTTGCATGTAGAGTTTTC